GAATTCTTTTATCAAATTGAAAAAATATGGTGTAGTTTTATTTTATTTATTTATATATTATTTCATGGTCTTTGATGAAGTTTTATTATTTTTACCATTAAAAACTTAGAAATGGGGCAGCGCCTGTGCCACAATGAGTAGGGCGCTGGCCCCATATACCAAGGGTGGTAGGTTCCAACCCAGTCCCAGCCAAACTGCAACAAAAAAATAGCCAGGCATTGTGGCAGGCACCTGTAGTCTCAGCTTGAGAGGCTGAGGCAAGAGAATCGCCTAAGCCTAAGAGCTGGAGGTAGCTGTGACCTGTGATGCCATGGCACTCTACCAAGGGCAACAAAGTGAGATAGGAATTGCTTTTTTCCATGTGTTAAAAAAAAAAACAAAACTTATAAATGTTTTGTTGTATTTATTTCTAGGTACCTTGTTTTTTGGTTGCTATTATAAAATATTTTATTTTGAATTAATTTTTAGTGTGTAAGTAAATATATTTACATGTCTCATAAAATGAGAAGGCATAAGTTAAAATTTTTTCTTTTTCCTTTTGCTTTTCTTTCACTCAATTCTCAGTTTTTGTCCAGGTTACTGTTATTACCTTGTTGAATATCTCTCCAGTGTTATTTTGTGCACATAGAACCAAGTTTAATGATATATTTTTGTTTTACTGCAAATATAGTATGCAAATGGGCCGGGTGTGATGGCTGACCCCTGTAATTCCAGCACTCTGGAAGGCTGAGGCGGGTGCACTGCTTGAGCTCACCAGTTTGAGACTAGCCTAAGCAAAAGTGAGACCCCCACCTCTACTAAAAATAGAAAAACTGAGGCAAGAGGATAACTGGAGCCTGAGTTGTAGGTTGCTGTGAGCTATAACGCCATAGCACTCTACCCAATGCGACAGCTTAAGATTCTGTCTCCAAAAAAAAAAAATAGTATGCAAATGCTGTTTTTCACCTTACCCCCCACCCCATTACATTCTGGATTTCTGTCAGTACAAAAAGAGTTGCTGCATTTGTCATTATAACTGCACAGTTGCATTGTACAAATTGTATAAGGTCTGATAATTAAGTTCACGAACTCATCACTATGGTCACTTTTGAAGTACTTCCCCGGGGAGGTTATGCACTGATGCCAGTGCCTTTTTCACCCTTCAGAGCAATTTTGGAACTCTTTTTCTGGAATGACCAGCACATCCCATAGCACAGAAAAACATGCAATAATAATAATGAATATCACTTAGCAAGATACTGCCACTTGTCAACACAAGGTGTAAGACATTGATATAGCAAGGTTATGAAACCTTACCAAGTTATTTGTACAGTACTGCCAATGTAAGTGCAATGTGGCAAGTTTGAGGAGTTAACTGTAAGACCCTTTTGTATGACAACAGCTCTGATGATCATTACAGATAAGGAATTCCAAAACTGCTTTGAAAGGTGGACCTGACACTGGTATGGGTGCATGGCTTCCTAAGAGGAATACTTCAAAGATAACCATAATGATATTCAGCAATGAGATATGTAACACTTTTTCTAGGATGAGTTTGTGGATTTGTCAAATCTCATATGTTATACAGATAAACCATAATTTTCTAAACTATTAAGGGTCCTTCTTCTTATTTATTTATTTCTTTATTTATTGTTAAGTAAGCTTGGGCCAGTTCACATCTGCCACCCTCAGTGCATAGTGCCAGTGCTCTAACCACTGAGCAACAGGCACCCAGCCTAATAGTTTGTATTGTGCATGAACATATGGGTTTTGCTTTAATTATTCCAAATACACATACTTGACTATGCAACATTCCAAATACATACATGAATGTGACATTCCACACATAACCATTATAGCTGAAGAGCAAATTCTCAAAAGAGAAATTGCTGAATTAAAGAGTATATGCATTTATATTTAGTATGTATCCTTTATCTACCTATTTATTTACATACTAATTTGCCAACAACAGTAATTGTATTGCCAGTTTACACTCTGATGATATTGCATGATATCCCTGTTAACCAATGTCTCATTAACAGAAAGTATCACGAAATTCATAAATTAAAACAATCTTATAGGATTTTCACTGTAAGTTTAATTTGCCTTACTAGTCATAAATTATTTACTCATGTATTAAGGAGTCATTTCTATATTAATATTTGTTGTCTTTTTTCTATTATGTATTTTTCTTATCTATTATTCTTTTGAAGTGCTACTGGATTCCTTTTGCTGATATTTATATTTTTGAATCAGTAATCATAATTAGATTTATTGAGTTCGATTTTGTCTAATCTTTGCCAATTTTTGATATCAATATTAATCATTTTGTATACATTTTGTAAGTTTTTCATGTTTTGACAATTATTTAAGGTTTAGTAGAAATCCCCTGTGAAATCTTCACATCTAGTTCTTTTTGGGTGTTAATGCTTTGAAGATTTTATTAGCTCTATGGAAATCAATCTGTTGAGATTGTCTATCTATGGTCAGTTTTGGTAGATTTCCAAACTGCATAGATTTTACTAAATTAAATCTAGTTTTATGTTCTTCCAAATTTTCCGCTTTTTTAGATACTTCCTCTTATTTTTTACTCATATAACTCAATTATTTTTTATTGTGTATGTTTGTGCTCTTCTCACTTGTTATTAGTTTAAATATTGATATCTCTGTTTAATTTCTTTTAAAATATTCATCTCTTAGATTAATTTTTTGTTTTCTGATTTATTCATTTCTTCTTTTCTCTTAATTTGTTTTGCATCCATTCAGTTTATTTTGTTGAATTTTCCTAACCTCTCCGTTGGATCCTTAATTCATTAAAAAGATTTTTATGTATTTCGTATAGTGTTTACAGCTAATAATTCTCCTTTGCACACTGGTATGGCTCTTCTCATACTTCTTTTATGTAGTGTTTTGATTATCATAATTTTCCAGATATTGTCAAGTGGTTATATTTCCTCCTTGAATCAATAGTTACTTAAGAGAGAATTAAAAACTTCTCTGTTGCTGAATGTGTCATGGCTTTTTAATGTTATTGAATTATATTCACAGAGAGGTTGTCTTAACCATTTCATTGTAGATGGTGTTGCAGGTTGGGTTCCAAGAGAAGTGTGCTCTAAGATACAGATAACGTTCAGAAGTTTACAGGTAGTGATCTTGGGATTAACACTTGTGACAGAGCAAAGGCAGGAGGGAGAAGTTGAGTTGTGATGTAATCACAACAAACACTTTGTCTACTCCCATGGAACCAAGATGACAATTTCAGAGTTGTCCTGAGGGAGGTTAGACCTTTATACACTCTCAAGAGACCACTTTCTAGATGCAGTTTGCCTTAGTGAAGCCAGGCTGTTCTTTACAGCTGAGAGCAATTCCTGGAGAGGAGCTAAGAGTGAATGAGAGCTGTCAGAGAGGGCTATGAGCCAGCAATGCTCCCAGCAACTGAGGGAATAAGTCCTTCAGTCCTGGGAGACATAGCATGGTGTTCAGTATGGGTGAACATCTGAGATATTCTCTTCCTCAGGCTTCCTTGTATTTAGGGCAAACGCTTGTAATCTGTGTTTGATTAATCATACAGCCTTCCTTTAATTTGAATCCGGATAGGTGGTACAAAGAACTAGAGGCAGTGGAAAATCTCTCTGATGGTACTGGCAGTGATAGAAATATCAGGTTTACAGAGCAGCTATGGCAGCAAGCTAGCATAGGCATCCAGTGTCCAGGCAAACAGCATTAATTGCAGAAACTTGGTCAACTCCTAAGATGGTTTCGTGTGTTGTTTTGGCTGTGGTGTTGTTATGGACCCTATTCTCTGGCCATCTTAGCAGTTTTATGAACTACCCAACTCTATTTCTTTTATCTCTTTCTACCTGTCAATTGTTATGTCACATGAAAATGACATATTGAGCATATTTTTACCAAGTTAGGAGAGATATCTTGGATAGTATGACTTCAAATATGGATATATGGCATATGGAAAAACATATTTTTTAGGGCTCTGGGGAACAGTGTGGACACTTAAAACAACCAGTAGCATAAGCTCCAAATTAAAAGCCATGAAGGCATAAGCTTGCAGTGTAGGTATAGTCTGCTTGTCACATAGGCAACTCTATGCATAGTCCATAGTAAATGACAAATGGGGAGTTTTTAATGTTAAAATTATGATGAATAGAATGCCAGGCAATTTTTTGCAGACCAGCATGAAGGTTTATAGGTATAGTCATGGACATAGACATAAATTTTACTTCTTACACAAGAGAATACAAACAGGTTACAAGAAATGCATATAATATAACAAAATGTGAATAACTACAAAAAATCAGAGTGACCAAAGCTATCCATATCTCACTCTCATCAGTCCTTAATATGGCCTTTTTACTACATTCAGATTAATTTGTTCAAAGTTTACTCATATTGAGTAACACACCATACTCCTTCTCACGTACAAGTCCTCATGTGTTTTGAATATTCTCATCATTCATTTGTAAAACTCACTCATGTTCAAGACCCAGATTAAGTGTCATCTTTATCCTGAAACTGTGCTTAACCTTTTAAGCCCTCACCAATATCTTCTCCCTTTGATCTCACATTGTAGTTATGGTTTGAACTTTTTACTACATAGCAATTTTATTCTCTAATGTTTCTCAGACCCAAAGATATGGTTACATACTCAAGGACACTCTAGTAGGAAGACAAACCTGGGAAAATTCTTCATTTTGTGTTTTCTGCGGCATATTCACATGTTAATCTGGGCTGTATGTGATGTCTTAATGATACATTCAAATGTTGATTTCATATTTATTGCAGTTTTCAGGGACTATATATATATATATATTTTTTTCCACATCCGTAATATCTTGAGCTCAAATGGGTAAGACCTGTGACTATGTTCCTCTGAGAGTTTGTAGCAAACATAGCTCAGTAACAAATTTAATTGGGCATCTAAAAACAGATTTGTAATTGTGATGAGAATGAAAATGGTGATCTCATTAGGATTTGCCTCTTGTTGAACTCCTTTCAGCCCGTATAAATCACTGGAAGAAGATTTTACTTCGGCTTAGCATCTTTTTAAAAGCCCCCTTCAGTTCATTGTTCCTTAGGCTGTAAATGAAGGGATTCAACACAGGGGCTATGATCATGAAAATCACTGATGCAGCTGAGTCTTTTTCAGTTGAGTGATTGGATGAGGGGCTCATATAAACCCCTGTGATGGCTCCATAGAAAAGAATGACCAAGGCAAGGTGAGATCCACAGGTAGAGAAAGCCTTAAGTTTTCCTTGGGCAGAAGGGACTTTCATAACAGCAGAGACAATGAGGCTATAGGATACCAGGATACACACTGAAGGTACCACAAAAATCAGCCCCACCACGGCCAGAACCATCAACTGATTAAGACTGGTGTCAGAACAAGATAGAGGCAGGAGAGAGTTGATATCACAGAAGAAATGGTGGATGATATTGTCAGAGCAGAAGTGCAGACGAGCCATCATAAGTGTGTGCAAGAGAGGGTTTAAAATGGCAATGACCCAAGGTACAGACACCAGAGAGGTACAGAGGCGCTGAGTCATCATGGTGGAGTAATGCAAAGGGTGACAGATGGCCACATAACGGTCATATGCCATCACTGTGAGAAGAAAATTATCCATGTTGGCAAACATCATACAGAAATACATTTGAGCCAGGCAGCCAGGATAGGAGATGGTTTGAGTCTGGGTTTGGATGTTCAGTAGCATCTTGGGCACTGTAGCTGAAGGAAGACAGAGGTCTACCAAAGACAGATTGGCAAGGAAGAAATACATGGGTGTGTGTAGACGATGGTCTGAGCCAATGACCAGCAAGATGAGTAAGTTTCCAAAGATTCCTGTGAGATAGAGACACAGGATAAGTGCAAAGAGTAGAACCTGCTGCCCTGGCCAACTCGAGAAGCCCAGGAGAAGAAATTCAGAGACATTGGTTTCATTTTCCTTTTCCATTGCTAGAATATATCTGTACAAAAAATCAAAGAATGAAATATCTTTGTCAGTAAAAAACTTTTCCTTTGCTATTTTTTGTATACTCACTTGGGTTTGTCCCACTTACTAAATTCTCTTCTACTTTCTCTCTATGCTCCCTCTCAAGCCTCACTGAACCTTGAGTATGTCCTTCCACTTCACTGGTTGTCTTTACATCTATCATCCCTTACTGGACTCTCACTGGATCCAAGATTTCCATGGAATTTGTATACATCTCCCCTCAGTATGCAGAGATTCTTTTCCCACTTGCGATGTTGATACTAACTCTTGCATGTTCTGCATTGTGTGTGTTTGCCTGATTGCTGCATGTTGGAATGCATTCATGAGTCTGGCCTCCTAAATGGCTTCATACCAAACACTGTGATTTAAACAAGGAAAATTTTCCAAATATTTGTCTGACATCATATGAACCATCTTTCCTGAAAACCAGTCAGACACCTACCATATGGGATTTATACAATATGGATAAATGATTGTTATTTCTTTAAGATTCAAAAGAAAAATACATTAATTTACTTGATAAGTGTAAAAAGTTAAATATCCAAAAATATTTTCCATGAACAAAGAACAACATAAGAAAATATTTGCAAATAATTTAAAAGTTATATAACACATGTAGTTATATAATACATGTAGATAAGACTAAGGGAGGCCAAGTATGGTGGTTTATCCCTGTAATCTTAGCACTCTGGGAGGACAAGGCAGAAGGATTGCTTGAGCTCAGGAGTTTGAGACCAGCCTGGCAAGCGCAAGACCCCCTTCTCTACTGAAAGGTGGCACACATCTGTATTCCAAGTTACTGGGGAGGCTGAGCTAGGAGGATCACTTGAGTGCAGGGGTTTGAGGTTGCTGTGAGCTATGATAATGCCACTGCATTCTAACCAGGGCAAACAGAATGAGAATCTGTCTTAAAAAAAAAAATACTAAAAGGGGCAGTGCCTGTGGCTCAAAGGAGTAGGGCACTGGCCCCATATACCTGAGGTGGCAGGTTCAAATCTGGCCCCCCGGCCAAAAACTGCAA